CACAATCAAGTGAATACATAGATACACAGGACTGAAGATAATTCCCGACAGATGAAAATGCAGTGATGCACTAGTGCAGCACTACTGAAGCATGGACTGCAGTGTGCCCGCACACTGTTTATTACTAGTCTGTGACGAGATAAATATAGAAATCAAGAGCCAGTGTGTAGAATATCCATCGTCTGCTGAATCTGATAATAAAAAATCAGGGCTTGTCATTTGTATGCCTTTTAAAATTTTTCATTTTTTCTCAACTTTTTTTTCTCTATTGCCATTCTTTCCCCCCATCCTTTTTGACATTTTTTCCCCCCAATTGCCCCTCCCCCTATGAAATTTTAATATTGCAGATATGCTGTATATCTGCTTAGGTAATTATACATATTTGTGTTTAAAACAAAAAGCGTACGATGTTTTTGCCCCCGCTGTACAATGTTGCTCCCGAGAACAATTTTTTGCCCCCTTTGGGTGATACTGCCTCCACTGAGAATGCATGTTCTAGTGATTCATTTTTATTGTATTTTATGCTAAGTTAAAGAAAAAACTCTGGTCCTTCACCACAGTGAGTATGTGAAGTACTGGGTGATTCTGCACCTGGAGGTGGACCTCGGTACCAAGTAAAGCAGTTCCCAGCATTGGGTGCCGTTGTGCATAGTGACTTGTTTGATGCTGCTGGTCCACCATCCAAGGGAAGATATTGTTATCCAGTTACAGGAACTCGGTGTCGGAAAAGTTCCGTAACTTGCCCATAACATCTGAGCTGAAATCTACTGCTCCTTGAGATCTACGAGGTTGGCCATGAAGAAACCCAAAAGAACACAAAACGGGCAGTAACCAGCGTTGGCAAGGATGCAGAGAAATTGGAATCCTCGTATTTTGCTGCTGGAAGTATAAAATGGTGCAACCACCAGGGAAAACGATTTGATGATGCCTCAAAAGGTTAAGTAGAATTACCATATGACCCAGCAATTCCGCTCTTAGGTATACACCCAAAAGAACTGAAAATAGGTGTTCAAACAAAAACTTGCACACCCATGTTCACAGCAGCACAATTCACAGTGGCCAAAAGTAGAAACAACCCAAATGTCCATTAACTGATGAAAGGATAAACAAAATGTGGCATATCCATACAACGGAGTATTATTCAGCCATAAAAAGGAATGGAGTACCGATACACGCTACAACATGGATGAATCTCGAAAACATCACGCCGAGTGAAAGGAGCTACATACAAAAGGCCACATGTTGTATCATTTCCATAATTTATATGAATTATACAGAATAGGCAAGTCCACAGAGACAGAAAATAGACTAGGGGTTGCCAGGGGCTGCGGGGAGGAGGGAATTGGGACTGACAGCTTAATGGGTTTCCTTTTGAGGTAAGGAAGATGTTTCGGAATTAGATAGAAGTGGAGGTTGCATGACATTCTGAATGCAGTAAATGCTACTGACTTGTACACTTTAAAATGGTTAATGGTTAATTTTATGTTATGTGAATTTTACCTCAATTAAAAGCAAAACAAAACTGCTGTTCCTGCTGCCTCCCAGTACTGTCTCCACAGCCTATCTCCCAGGCAACAGCAAAGGAAGGATCCAGAGAGGCCCAGAAAGATCAGGACCCCTCCCTCTGCCACACTCCTGGACAATCTGCACCTGGAGCCCTGAGAGAAGAGATGATCTCCGAGTATCAGAGATTCTTTCCATCCCACCCCCAGTTCGGGAACAACCTGTGCCCCTACTCCTTTGGCACCGACCTCACGTTTCCTTTCCATCTTTTTCTCTCCCTTTGCTGGTGACATTATAGCTTCATCTAACCAGGTTGCTGAGATTCCCTGCAGAAGGCTCTTCTGAACAGAGGGAAGACAAGCTGGGCCGGGTCTCCCAGGCACATGTCCCACTTTCTCAGATCACAAAACAGCTCTGGCACGCAGGGGCCGCTCGCTTACAATCCAGGTGAGATTTGGGATCTTTCAAACGCTGTCAGTTCGAAAAGAGGCATCCTCCTTTATTACGGCAGTCAGAAGGAGGGCCGGGGGCCCCCAGGGGGACACACTCTGTGTAAATTGGGAAGCAAACATGTTTACTGCACTGATATTTGCACACGACCCTGAGCCTTCCTGTTTGCCCAACGATCAGAGGTAATTGCATAAAAGCGTCGGCGCCCGCCTGTGATACCAGAGAACTGCCACCAACCCCGCACCAGATGTGCAATCAAGAGGGCCCTGCGGAGCGGCCTGCCGAATTCCAGAGCAGATTCGACACGGTGGATTAGACAGACAGAAATCACATCTATACGGGGATGTTTAACAGAGAGATTCGAAAGAAAATGCCGAGAGGTGTGCACTTTCTGGACGTTCCCCCTCAACTCGTCTGCCGAGGAAGCGCTCCCACGGTGGTCCAGGGTGGATGGTTTGATTTCACTCTTCCTTCCTCCACCGGGGACTCCTCACCACGTAATCACAAGTGGGAGGTGGGAAGCGAGTCTGGGATTAGGGGAGGAAGGAGAGCGTGTCAGGGCCACATTTTGATGCACGTGGGGACTTCTCCTCCCAGACAGTCACATCTGGGTCACAGGCCCTGTGCTGGGATGCACAAGTGGGCAGAAGAAATAGCAGAAATGAGCTACCCTGGCTCTTGTGTTCCAAAGTTTAGGCCCCAGAGTCTGGGAGGATTTGAGGTGCAGGCTAATGCTTCCGGAACTTTCTGTGAAAGACGAGATTTTAAATTGTTAATGCTTTGGGGACGAAGATGTGGTTCGAGGCACGTGGCTAGCATGTGACCCATGCTACAGGCAATTCACCGCGTGATTCAAGAACTCCAGAACTGGTCTACACCCTGTGCTACAAGACGAGTCTGTGATCACGAGCTCCAATGTTGGGGCAACATCTAATTGCTGTGAAAGTTTCTCACTGTTACTTAGCTCCGTATTTATGTGATTGCAGGCCAGTAATAGCTTATGGACTGACTCCAGGTGGCAGCTGACTATAAAATGGCTTAATAAGATAAACGAAGGAAGAGGGATCTTCTTAAGTGGGCAGCAATTCTCTTGGCTAGAGAAATGGGGTGGGGCAAGAGGGAAGGGTAAGGAGTGGGTAGAGAAAGAGAAGGAGAATGAGCAGGGAGCCCTGGGGCAGAGGGATTCCGGTCTCTGTATCCATGCACAGCTGCTGACAAAGCAGCGAGACCCCTAAACTGGAAGTGGCTGTGTGCGCTGAGTCGGAGATAGGCAGAGCTCCAAACCTTACAGGGCCAGCAGCTGAGGGAGGTGAGAGGAGGAGCTGGTGCAGCCACACTGATAAATGGCAACTGACACAGAGCTTCAGTGTTGGGGACAAAAGGGAGTGGTGGGGATTGTGGCAAACTGGAACGCATAGTTTCTATCTTAGAAGGCAGCAGTTTGTGGCAGCCACTATTCCCCAGTAGGCATTCCCAACTCCTTTCTCCTTGCTAGCTTCTCTCCTTGCTTTCCCAGTTTCCCTCACAGCTCCAGGATGGCCATGTAACCTAGTTCTGGCCAAGGGGCTTCTAGGAAAGACTTTTCTTTTGTTTCCCTGCTGGCTCTTCCCCTGGATCATGTGAGGATGTAATGCCTGGAGTTACAGCAGCCATCTTGGGACACGAGCTGCCAAACCAACCTTGGGGTCTAGACTTCTTGCTAAACACACAATAAATGCCTTATGGTTGAAGCCAGTTCGCTGGGCTTTTTGTTACTTGCAGCCAAAAGCATTCCTAACTGATGCAATACTCCTAGAAATGTGTGTCTAGCGTAGCCAGGGATTCTGATTTTTCAAGAGAAGTCAGAAATCTGGATTTGTACATGAAATTTCCCAATTTTTAAATGTAGGCAACAAATACAAATTAGTTGGGCAAAACAAAAACATGTTTGCAGGGTGCATGTGGCCTATGGGTTTCCAGTTTATGACCTCTGGTCTAGGAAGACAGAACAGTGAAAGATTCCTGTGCCCACGGTGTGGCAAAGACACAGCAATGATGAGCTCCAGACAGAAGGGGCCTCAAGGACCAAGAGTGGACGACTCAGGGGCAGCCAGGGTCTCAGAGATGGAGGACCCAATGAGCCCCCGACGCCATAGCACGTCGGCACTGGGTAAGATTCCAGAACCACGGCCAAAATTCTGGACAGTTTGGGGAAAGCCCCAAAAGACTAAGATGAAACTTACCCACCAGCCCAGGGGAATGGTAGCTCAAAACAGAAATTATGTTGAAATACCAAAGATAAAGTCAGTTCTATTTTTTTACCCCCTTAAGCTCACAGATTGAGATTTATACCTACTATACAAGGGACAGAGGATTTCTTTATGTCCCTGGAACTGTGCCTCCGCCAACTGTCAGGGAACCTGTGTGGAAAGCATCCCTTTTTGTCATCCTGCAAAATGTTAGGTGCTAACGTCGAGTTAATTCAGTTCATGGCACATTTTCCTCATCAGTGCCCCCCAAGACTTCTCTTTTTAAAAATATGTTTCCTCTCACTCCCTGTCACTCCATAGGCAATAATTCTAGTGTGTCTGGTGCACATCCTTTCGTTTGTATGTGTTCTTGCAAAAGGTGCACTATGTTTTGTGGGCAGGTATATAATTTCTGTATATTCTATGTGTTACATTTCTTAAGTTTCTTGGTTTTTTCACCCAGGATTAAGTTCTTAAGACCCATCTATGTTGCTGTGGGAATGTCTGTCTGTTACATTTCGTTACTTTATATTTCACATGGTTTCTCAGTTTTTTTGCCCAGCATCAAGTTCTTTGGCTCTGTCCCTGTTGCTGTGGGTGTGTCTCGTCTGTCACCCTGGCAGGTGCCCCGCCCTCCCTCATGTGCGTTCTCCATGTCTTTTCTGCTCCCTTTTCCAGAAGAACATCTGGGATTCCTCCATCTCTACTCACAAGACTGCCATCAACATCCTCGGACCTGTCCCTTTGTGGGCCTGCGTGTGAGTTTCCTAGGGATGTATCCCCAGGAGTGGGACAGCTGGGTCCTGAGGTTGTACAGACCTAACTTCCCCGAGGGCTGGGTGACAGCTCTCGGCATGGCTGCAGGTGCACGGTCCCACTCGCAGTGCCGACAGTTCCCACGTCCCCGCATCCCCGCCAACAGTTGGCATAATCCCACGTGCTAATTTTTCCTATCCCATTAGGACCAACGTGACAGCTCGTTTGTTGTCTTGAATTCACGTTTCTCTGATTCCTGGTGACTCTGTACATCCCTTCTGGGGCTTGCTGGCCTCTGCATGTCCTCCATCCAAGCCCTTGGAAGCCTCTCAGTTACTGGCATTAGCAGCTAGACAAATAATAATAAAACAATAATAATGATAGCCTCCACTTATCGAGCACTTACTACCTTTCCCAGGGCTAGTCATTTTACACGCGTTATCTTGTTTAATCTCCACCACAATCCTAGGAAATGGGTCCTGTTAGGAAGTGGCAGAGCAGGGGTGAGCCTGACCCCGAAGCCCAGGATCCCCGCCAGCCACTGTGCAGCCCTGCCTGCACGCAGCTGTGAAAGAGCACAAGTCACGGCTCGCCGTAGTTCACTGCAGCCAGCCTGACTTCACTGTCACTCGCAGATTTGACGTGCCACCCCAGGCAGCGCAGAGAAGGCCTCACGGATGATCCCGCTCACCATGTTACCTGCATTGGAATCCATCTTACAATTTCTTTCCCCGCAGCAAAGGGACCTACCGTCCTGGTCCACAGCGACACTCAAGAACATGTATTCATTCGTCTTAATTAAGTCCTAATGATGTCAATATTAAAATAAAACTGCTGAAAACATACCAGGACTGTAAGTCAAAAAGGTCTGGATATGTAATGGGGGAGGAGAGAAAAAGTCATCAGCAGATAAAGTAGAAAATGGAAAAGCCACAAGTAGGTAGAGAGAGGTGAGCCGGTTATGAAACCCCACCCACTCATGTCCCCCAACCATGGCCCAGGCTCCAGAAAGGGACAAGTCACAGATCTTCACAGGTTGATGTCTCTTTTTCTTTTCTTCACCTGGCCCCACCCTCTACCTGTGTTCATTCATTCAGTCACTCATTTACTCAATGAACTTTTGCTGAGTGCCTAGTATGTGTCAAGATTTCTATCTTGAGAAAGAGCTGGGTCCTGTCTTTCTGGATCTAAGAGCCTAGAAGGGGAGGGAAGACAACAGAGAATCCGCACATACTTGATTACGTGCCCTGGTGACTGTGGACAAGTGGTTGACCTTTCCAAGCCTCAGTTTCCCCCTCTGTAAAATGGAACTAAGCCTAGTTTATCTGGTTTATTATGAGGATTCTGTGAGATAAGGCACACAAAGGGCAGAGCCTAGCACAGAGTAAGTGTTCACAAATGGTAGCTGGGATTATTATTCTTTGCGTGTTAATAGTCACCACTGGAGATATCAACAATGCCAGTATTTCATTGATCTCCATTTAAAGAAAATGTTCATGGAAATAAAAACATCTGGGGAAGATTTAAAAAAAACAAACACAAAACAACGCGGATAGGGCCAAACAGCAGACCCCAAATGAAAACAAAGGATTCTGGGGGACCCAGATGGAGCTCTTGGCTCTGAGACCAACAAGTACACACGGTCCATATGCCAGCAAGGGTGGTGTCCCTACCCATCTTGCTGACACTGAGTCGTCTAGCCCATTTTGCCATCTTAAAAAATCCAAACACGCAGCAGAGCCTGTCTCCCTGCATCTTTGCTCCACGTGGAGTCCAGCCCACATCTGTGTTTAATCAAATCAGTTGCTAAATGTCACAATGGCCTCATTCACAGGTAGCATAAAGCATATTTAACTGCTAATAAAACGATCTGCATTCCTGAGAATGCCATTTCAGATCGGCTGCCCTGTCACTGCGTCTCCGCCACACGAGTCGGAATAACGCCGGGGCAGAGACGGGGGAGACGGGGCCAAGGAGGGCACTGATGCTGCAGATGAGAAAGCGAGCACGTGTGGATCCACGTGTGTGGTGCGGGAAGATGGCCAACACGCAGAGCCAGGTGAGAAAAGGCACGGGGCAGGGTCGTGAGCCTCTCTGAGCACACACGAGACTGAACTGCGTATTTGTTCATTTCAGTTACACAGAGGACTGATGAAGCTGGATCGCCTCTTAGAGGAGGCAGCAGTTGAACAGAAGCTGCCGAATGGGAAGGAGCCAGCCACATGGAGATCTGGGGAAAGGGCATTTCAGGTTGGGCAAAACAGCAAAGTGCAAGCGCTGAGGTGGGAGGAATGGACAGAAAGCCAGTGTGAGCGAAGTGGAGAGGATGCGGGGGGCAGAAGGCACGGTGAGGTCAGAGAGGTCAGGCAAGGCTTGGTGGCCAAGTCACAGCAAGGCATTGGCATTTATTTCTGATTGTAATGGGAAGCCCTGGATGGAGGCTTTTCAGCAGGAGTGACATGATCTGATACAACACGGGGAAGGACTGACTGTGTGACTTCCTCACTCAGCGTGGTGGAAACAGATCAGGGGGTCACACTGGATCTCAAGACCAGATGCATTATTCTTACTGCCGAGGGTCTCCTCTGGAGGGATTTTTGGGAACGGTAACCCAAAAAGATCAGAGTTTCTGAGACAAGTCATACATGTCGGAGAGAGATTTGCACTGACATAGTGCCCAGGGAAGGCAATGACGGTAGACATAACTTACACTGCCCTGGTGGAAATATGGCGGGGATGGAGTATGTGACCCAGCCTGGACCAATCAGTGCATCACATTCCCTTGATCATAGCGATTGCTTTAGCAGTGTGCATCTGAACTAAGCAGATCCAAATGAGAGGGAATCTCAAGATCTTGTATGGTAAAGAGGCTGGAGCTGCTGCAGCCACTTGCTCACCATGAGGGCACTTGGCATTTACATGACTGCCTTCTTCCCCAAAGAGGTAACATACCCATTTTTCACTGACCAGACATGCAAAAATTGTCTGTTGAAGGAATAGATGGATGACTGAATCATCATTCTTGATGCTCCTCCCTGTCTCACAGATCTAAATGCCATCACTAATTTCTGTGAATAGGGCCTCCTAAATACCCTGCAAGTCCATCCACCTTTCTCCATCTCCACCACCACCATCACCACCACCACCTCCAGGCCTCTACCATCTCTCTCCTGGGGACTGCAGAGCTTCCTCACTGATTTTCCTGCATCCACCCTGACCCTGGTTCAACCCACTGTCCTCATAGCTGCCCAGAGCTCTTTTCCAGATCAGCCACAGCCTCCCTAGCTTCCCATTGCATTTATCACCCTTCACTGTGGCCACAGGCGCAGGGTGACCTGTTTCCTCTCTGACTTCACTGAGCCCCACCTTTCCGCCTTATTGTAGGTTGAACTGTGTCCCCCCAAAAGATATATTCAAGTCCCAGCCCCACTCTCTATGAATGTGACCGTACTTAGAAGTAGGGTCTTTGCAGACGTCATCAAGTTAAGATGAGGTCATACTGGATTAGGGTGGGCCATAATCCATACTGGATTAGGATCAGTCCTCCTGAGAAGAAAGAAATCTGGACGCAGACACGCAGAGGGGATGGCCATGTGGAGACGGACGCAGAGTTTGGAGTGACGAGTCTACGAGCCAAGGATTGCTGGCCACCACCAGAAGCCGGGAGAGAGGCGGGGAACAGTTTGTCCGTCAGAGCCTCCAGAAGGAACCAACCCTGCAAACACCCTGATTTTGGATTTCTGGCCTCCGGAACTGTGAGAGAGTAAATTTCTGTTGTTTCAGACCAGTCAGCTTGCGGTACCTTGTTACAGCAGCCTTAGCAAACCAAGACACCCTCTTTCGCCTCCCTCCAGCCACCTGGCCGTCTAGAACATCATGGTAGGACCTCTGCCTGTGCTCCTCCCTCTGCCTGGAATACCATCTCGTAGCCCAGCGTTTCTCAAACGTTAGTGTGCACAGCAATCATCTGGAAATCCTGTTACAAAGCAGATTCTGCAGGTTCCGGGTGAGGCCTGCGAGTTCTAACACTCACCCAGGTGGGACTGATGCTGCCACACTGGGGACCAGGGTGGAGGCCCTGACCCCTCCATGGCCAGCTGCTTCTCAGTCGGTCTCGGCTCAGAAGTGACATCCCCTGACCAGCCCAGCTCAAGTGTCCCTGTCCCCCCGCAGCCACACCTCACACACTTCCCTTGGAAGCACGTACACCCTCGGGAATCGTCCTATGTGTCAGACACACATGACTGTTTCTATCATTCCCACAGGACGCGAGCTGCGCGGGAGCAGGGACTTCGTCCCTTCTTCACTGTCTCGGCTCAGTTTCTAGAAGAGGACGCAGCACGTGGCTCTCTGGAAATAATTTTTGAAAAGAAAAAGAAAGTCTGTCTTGTTCTTGGCACTGTCTCCAGCTGCTGGCACAGTACCTGGCAGGCAATGAACATTCAATAGCTATTTATTGGATGAAGAAATTAAAAAGTGAATGAACCGACCTTGGTGATAGTTTCTGATTGTCGAGCATGTACCGTGTGCCAGGAACTCTGCAAAGCCCCTTACCTGGGTTTTCCTAGTTTACGCCCCAGCCAACAAGGGGCATAACCACAGAGGAGCGCTACTGGGGCCCCTTTTCAATCATCACCAATGTTTTCTGGGCACCCACGATGTGCCAGTCTGTCCTAAGCACTAAGGATCCAGCAACGGACAAGACAACGGAAACCGCCGCCTCGGGGCAGCTGCCGTCTAGCGGGGAGGGGTTGAAGGGAACAAATACGTAAGATAACGTGGTGGTGGTGAGGGGAGGTGGAGACAGCCAACGTAAGGAGGGGGCTGGGGAACGTGGGTACAGGTCGGGGGTCAGGGAAGGCTCCACATCTCAGTAAAGACTTGTGGGAGGTGAGAGATCGAAGCCCAGAGAGGTTAAGCCACTTGCAACCGACGACTCAGAGATTGGAAGTGGCAGAGCTGGGACTCATCTGACTCTGGGGCCTGCTGTTTTTCATCTCAATGTTCTCCCACCTCCCATCTGCTGGAGTTTCCATCCTACCAGAAGGTGCATTAACGGTTTCAGTGGGTGTTGGATTTAACCTAGCTAAAAGTCCCTTCCCCCCCCCCCCCCCCGTGCACCCCCAGATGTCGTACCCGCTGCCCAGGTTCTGC